CCCCGCCTCGGGCCGGGGCCGGCCCTGGCTCTGGCCATGACCCTGGCTCTTGCCCTGGACTGGTGTCCATCACCTTCCCGGTGCCCATCACCTCCCCGGTGCCCATCACCTCCCCAGCGCCCATCACCTCCCCAGTGCCCATCACCTTACTGGTGCCCATCACCTCACTGGCATCCATCACCTCCCCAGCATCCATGACCTCGCCAGTGTCCATCACCTAGCCAGCGTCCATCACCTCCTCAGCGTCCCCACACCAGCCCCTGAGGGCCCGTAACACCTCCCACAGCACCGGATATTCAGGCAGACATTAATCTGTCCGGGCAGGTACTAACTTAGCCACTTCCACAATCGCAAAGCTGGTGCAATTCTGCTGCCCTCTGCAGAATCAGGGGTGGGAGAGTCAGGGAGCAAATATTTACTCTCAGCGTGGATTTTGGTTTACTTCTCTCTTCAAACATTCATAGCACGTGTAGGGCTCCAGCGAGTCCCAGCTGGAAAATGAAGTGGCTTTCTAAACAAGTGGTCCCTCAGACACCTTCCTGCTGGTGGTAATCTGCTTCAGACACCTTGTCTTTTAGAAAGACGATTGATTTAAAATGCTGGTAACACACCTATGTGCGTACATGTGTGTTCCTGTATTGTGCAGCAGAAACAAATGGGCAGGTTGGCACCCTTTGAAGGAGCCTTTCTGGTGAGGTCTTGTTTGCAAATGAGGCAAGGTACGTAGCTAAAACATAGCAATATGCATTTAATATCAAACCCGAAAAGTGAGTAAATCCGTGATATTGCCGGGTGTTGTCTCGCGATGCCGCTGCCTGGCTCAGTACCGCAGCACGACACCATCGTCACCTTCTTCCTAAACATTCCCTCTCACCATGCATGCAGAAGATTGACAGGAGAGGTGGTAGCTGGTGCTTTACTGCTTCCAGAAAGACACTCCGGGTGGGGGGGTGCATAAGCAGCAGTGGTGGGGTGTGAGCTGGTGCGTCGGGAATGACAGGCAGCTGCGGTGGAGCCCGGCGCTCACCGGGACAGTCC